GAATATCATTAGCTAAATACACCACAAACACTTTAATCAACACAGAATTCCACACAGAAAGAGAAATAAAGAGCACGCTTCCCTTAAATTGCTTGTCCCACAATGACCATTCATCTACACACCCAGGAAACTCACATCTTCAATCATTTTATTCCCTCACTCCCCACATCTAATCTACCAAGTCAAGTGAAACCTTTAAATCTTGCTTCTGTTTTCATTGCCTGTTTTAGGCTCCAATCTTTTCTCACTGGAAATAATACAGTGATTCCTTAAATTATGCTTCTGCTCTTTTCTCCCTTGTCTTCAGTTGTGGTAGAGAGAACATGGGCTTGGAATCAGAAAGACCTGGGTACAAATTCTAGTGCAGACATTTATTAACAGAGCGGCAATATGAACCTTAACTGCTTTACCCATAAAATGGTATCTGCTCTACTTAATTCATGCTGGGGAGAGTTGGCAGTGTGGTAAAGTATAATACTATACCATAACCACTGAAATCTAGATGCATAACTGGAAATTGTCTTTGGGTCAGAACCAGGAATTTGGCTACTAGCATGCTATAGTTTGGACTCTTATTTTTTAAAAAGGTAAGGTAACTCATGCCCAAAAATTCATTCAAAACATAAAGCAAGTTGGATATTAAACCAAAAAATCTGGTTATATTCAGGGTTCTGACTGCCAGATTACCTCACCAACCTTTTAGGGAGCTAATGGCACATAGAACACTTAGTCACTTGCCTCTAAGCAAGGGAGGGATATTCTAGGGAAAACAGACTCACAGCAAAGACCTTATCCTAAATGTATCTTAACACTTCATTTATTTTATGATCCCGACTTGCTAAAAATTATACTTAGAATAGGGCATTAACAATTTCATGAGATTTAGAAAAATTTTTGCCCGGGAACATAAACACTGGGAGTGTAATGCAGAGCTCTACCTAGTTGATTACCATAAAGACCATAATAGGTCGTGAGGACTATAAACTCAAAAGCACATAAAAAAATTCTTGGAAGTTTCTCAGCCGAATAATAGTTCCAATTCTGACACATTCTTCAGGGACGTGTTAAGACAAGGAAGGACTCACTCTTTAACAAATTAGCTTAGACATTCAGCCTCCTCAAGATTACAAAATCATAATATTCTTTATTTCAATTTTTTTTTTAGCAGGGAGCTTTAAAAGGACAAAAGAATCTAAGCAATGATCAGAATGCAAACATTTTCTGAAAGCAAAACTGCACATTAGTCTTTATCCAAACATATACATGCATATAATCCATGTATACATAAAATTTTTTCAAAGTAAGTTGTTAAATGAATAAATGATAACATTATATCATCACCATTTTGAAACTTAGAATGAATTAATGGACCTCAACATAATTATCAATGACTACTAACTTCATAAAACAAGAAACAACTAGACTTTATGTGCACTACTAGTCCTACCCCTCCAAAGGGGAGGGGGGAGAGAAGGATGGACGTGTGTGTGGGAGAAGGTGGAAGAACCAACAAGATTTCCTGATGAATAAAATGTAGGAAGTGAGAGAATGCAACTACGTATAAATGGCATGCAGAAACCAATAGAGCAGATATGGAGGGAAAGAACAGAAGTTCAGTTTTGAACATTCTGAGTTTGAGATTGTTTTTAGACATCTAACAAAAATACTGAGTAGGTCAACAAACATGAGTCTGGAATTTGGAAGAAAGGCCCAAACTAGAGATACAAATTTGGGAATTACAGTACATAGTTTATACTAAAAATCAATAAAACATATCTTCAGATGATGATTAAAATAATAATAATAAAAAATAGTTTCTTCTCTTGGTTTCTACTAGACCACACTCTGCTGGATTTTCTCCAACCTCACTGAATGTTCTTTTTCTCTTTTTTAAAAAATTTGTTTTTATTGATTTTTTTTTTTTTTGAGAGAGAGAGGGAGAGAGAGAGATAACTATCTGCTGCCTCCTGCATGCCCCCCACTGGGGATCAAGCCGGAAACCTGGGCATGCCCTGACCAGGAATGAAACCGGTAACCTCTGGGTGCTCAATGACCTACTTAGTATTTTTGTTAGATGTCTTAAAAAAATGTCAAACTCAAAATGTTTACAACTGAACTTCTGTTCTTTCCCTCCATATCTGCTCTATTGGTTTCTTTATGTCATTTAAACATAGTTGCATTCTCTCACATCCTTCCTCTCCACCTCCCCCTCTTTGGAGGGGTAGGACTAGCAGTGTACATAAGATCTAGTTGTTTCTTGTTTTATGAAGTTAGTAGTCAGTGATAATTATGTTGAGAGAGAGAGTCTGAATCTCACCTTTAAGTTACTTTAATTAGAATTTGTCTGGAGTTCTTGGTAAATGAGAAATTCTACACAAATGAAATTTCCACATATTTGAAATGTCACTTGACCTTTAAATCATTTTGAAAGAAAATTTTATTTATTTATTTTACTATTATTTAAAAAAAAAAAAAAATCTTTATTGATTCCAGAGAGAGGAAAGGAGAAGGATAGAGAGATAGAAACATCAGTGATTAGAGAGTCGTCATTGATCGGGTGCCTCCTGCACGCCGACTGGGGATGAAGCCCGCCACCCAGGCATGTGCCCTGACCAGGAATCGAACCGAGATCCCCTGTATCCTAGGCAGATGCTCAACCGTTGAGCCACGCCTAGCTGGAACTCTTTTTTTAAAATGCATGTCACATATTCCCCCACCCAAAACAGCTGAATAAAGATGATTTAACTTTTCCTTATAAATGTGGGAGTCACCACTATGACATCAATTATTCTATCACATATAGTTGTGGAAGGCTGAGTTATATGAGAGCTGTAAGTCTCTGAGTAGACCTACACATCTATACTTTTTAATTCCTGTTTCTTCAGTTGACCCTGTTTGTTATTATCAAAGTGCTTGTCCAATTTTTAATTTGTTATTCTACTTTGGAGTGGGTAGGGAAACGTGCGTTAAAACTATCTCAAGAGTGAATTTATCACTGAACATTCTTTTGGATTATTTAGATTTACCACCATGTGCAAATGTTATTTTCATTAAAGAAGGGAAGAGAGGTTTTGTGAGTGTGTGCGTAGAGCAAAAAGATCTGGAGTAGGGACTTACAAGCTACCTTCTATCTCACATGCATGAAGTTTTAGAACATGGTTTAGTTGCAAACTGAGATTGTCTACCCTTTTATTTACTTCTTTATTATTATTTTGCTTTCTTTCTGATTCTCAGCTATGCTTTGAATAACTTGAGGTTGACAAATAAGTAGTTGTTCTAACTAGTTATGTTCCTTAGCCATTAAACTAATTTAAAAATTCAAAAATAATCCAAGTACTAATTTTAACTATTTTTAGTTAAGATTTTTTTTAAAAAAGTGAGTGAATGTGGGTGAGAGGGGTTAGTATTGACAAAGTATTATAATAGTAATAATGGTAGTATTTTATAATATACAGAATATTTAAAAATTTTTTATCTGTAAGCACAAATCAATGAAGGTTTATTTCATACAAGTCTTTTCACTGAATATACCGGAGCTGCTATTTTCAATATGACATTATTTGTTTTGCAGCCCCCTATCTGCCTGCACAAGCACAGATATCAAATTGTAATTTCATAATAAAGCAGTATTTAAAAATATTCCATATTCCTATAGGGAAATTCTGGCATCTGATTGTTCCTGAGTATTATTTTGTTTTCACCTCAAATTCTTAGCAAGTATTTTTTCTAAAATATTGAATTTTGAGTTTTAAAAAAGCAGCAAACATTGAATAAAATCTGAAATGCTCAGCAGAACTGAAATGAACCAAGTATTTTCCAGTAACAATCACACAAGCTAAGAAATATAAATTTGAAGCGGAAAAAGGGTATAAATACTACTGCTGATCTAGAAGTAATTAATTTTAAAATACAAGTGATCTATGATGATCTTTTCAAAAGGAAACTGAGAATGCTAAAGTTCTAGTACCAACCTAGTGTTACGGTTTAGAGAAAACATAGGTAACATAGCTGTTAAAATTTTTATACCCATTTTCTGAAATAAGGCAGAAATATATTTTCATTACGTATCATATACTTTCCCTAATATATCTGTGGGGGGAAAACTGCCAGTGAACCAACTCTCAGATTCAGAGGCCATTTGTTTAAAAATAAGCAATGAAAAAGTTTCTGCTAAAGCCTATGTATACATGTAGAATCCAGACCTTTCTGTGCTCTTCTATATAAGGCTGCAACCAGAGCAAATTATGTTCCATAGCAAAGGCACAAAAAACTGGGTAAGAATCTTGTTTCATTGCAAGCAATTAGAACTCTAGAAATCGCTACATGGCTCACAGGGCAGCTTCTTCACAGAATGAAAGCTCTACAGTTTCTAGACTGTATCTTATATTTTCCCAAATGGGAAAAACAGCCCAGGGTTAATCCAAAACAAAGCTATCTTAAGTTAAAATGACAAGAGTTTATTATAATTTCCCAAATATTAAAGAGAGCTCTTAACAATATAACTTGAATAAGGGTCATGAACTGGTTCAACATATGTCACTGGTGGTTTTATGAATTATAATGAATGCTGCTACTCTCTAAAAACAAACGTATCGAAGAGGAAATTACCTCCCTGGCACGCTTACAGCTCTACAACACATTAGTTTCACTACTTTCGAGTGCCAGGGCTGGAGGCTCAGAGAAAGTCCACGGGAGGAGGACTTCAGTCACAGCAGCGAGCGGTCTGAGCAGATAACGGAAATGAGCAAATAAGAGGTGAGTGTTTCACAAATAATAAAAGAGTTAACCTTTTTTTCCCCTTAAAAAATTTTGCTACTATAATCTTTCATTTCTATTTAGTAGTTTGAAAAACAAAATGAAAAGTTTACTAATGTTAAAGGAAAAAATTTTAATATGAGATTTGTAGATTTTATGAATAAATGGTTTAATCTTCCTCTTAGCTTCCTCTCCTTTCCAAGGAAACTGAGAAAGTAAAGAAAAAAAATTACTATTCAAAACAAACAAGCAAAAAACTGGTTCAAATTTGGCAAAAAGTGATAAATTTGGAAAATATCTGTTGCAGAAACATGCTTTCTTTAAAAGATGAAATTACTAAAAACAATTATTTGGATCCTAGTAATACCTATATTTTTTTCCTTCTTCAAACTAAAGGAGTCCTAAAATGCTTTATGAAAACAGCATTTGTATCAGTATTAAGATTAGTCTGGTCCGAAAAAAACAAACTACAAATAAAAATTCCTAGCTGGTAAAAAAGGTACACTTTGGGTGGGCTGAGTGTTTCTAGGTGTGTGGCTAGTGTGTACCAAAAAGTTCAATTCAGAACTATTTGCTTTGACATTTCTATTCTTTCTGTACATATTCTAAAGTAAAGGTAACAACTGAAATATCAGGAACATGTTTGTGGAAACTGGCTGCACTGTCACAAATGCACAAGAGACCCATTGAGAAGGGAGAGGCTACTAAGTTCAAGTGTTTTTCTGTTTTTGACAATAAATAAAATAATGCAATCCATATATTTTTTATAACTAGGGAGAACTCTATGACATTCAAATTCTAACACAACTCTACCATTACAGGAAAAAAAGAGAAACTAATAAATAAGTCTTTTTTTTTTCTACAGCTATTGGTTTCTTTCACTAAGCCTTCTGAAACCTGAGCCTCTGCAGAATACTAAACACTTGGCCTTATCTACAGACATGGACCAATGCATGTACGCTCTCATTTTAGAGAACCTGGAAGGAATCAACTTCGGCTTCAAGTATCTGGCATGGGTCCAATACCTTAAAAAAGCAGATGACCAGTTCAGTCACTGACCATGCTGACCAGTGTCTGGAATTGGATCAAATCACAGAAAAGTAGCAAATGGCTCTTTCTTACAGAATATCCAAACAAAGCACAATTCCTGGGCTCATTTTGCAGAGCTCATCTGATCACTTAATCTCTTCTAACTGGTCTGGATTACAGACAGAATCGATACCAGAGGAAATGAAACAGATTGGTGAGGAGCAGGGAAACAAGCCACGCTGGTCAGCTCTTCTGATACTCATGGTGATAATACCCACAATTGGTGGAAACATACTTGTTATTCTGGCTGTTTCACTGGAGAAAAAGCTGCAGTATGCTACCAATTATTTTCTAATGTCCCTGGCAGTGGCTGATTTGCTGGTTGGAATATTTGTGATGCCAACTGCCCTCTTGACAATAATGTTTGGTAAGTATTTCAAGTATTTCACTTTATTCCTGTCATCAAATCAAAGAATTATGATATAGTACTAGAGAAATGAATACTTGCTTAATCTTTAAAGATGGACCTGGACTATTTAAACATACAGTGAGTAAACAGTTCATTTTTCATCATTTTCTATGGTAGTTTTCTTTCTTTCTTTTTTAAATCATAGTTTATTTTTCAATTACAGTTGACGTACAATATTATATTAGTTTCAAGTTTTCTATGGCAGTTTTAAAGAGCAAAAAATAATTTCTTAGAAGCAATTCTACTCCCTCCTTAGCCAACTAATAAAATAATTTCACAAGTCATCCAAGTTAGCAATATTCATAGATTCTGCAGATATTACCAAAAAATTTATAGTGAAGAGCAGACATATACTCCAACTTTCCCATTATTAATATTTTTTTTCTTTACAAAGCCATAGCTAGGACACTTCTGTAACAGTTATGTGCTAGGTTAATTATTGATACGGCCTTTGAATCACTAAATTTCAATTTAAATCACTAAACCCCCATAAAATTAGAATTATTCTAAAACTTCTTGTTATATCTTTTTATAGTTTGTGTACTTTAGACTTAAACACAATTCTTACACATGTCATGTTTTAAAAAAATTATGTTTAGTTGCTGAAGGAAATAGTCTGGCTCAGAGTGTCCCAACAGATGACCCATGTGTTTAATTTTTATGATTTCTGACCGTTCATGTCCTTGATATATATGTAAGAGGAATCAGACCTCTAGGTTATTAAAATAAGTGACCAATACCTGAATTATTACAATAAAAAAATGTAGTTTGACTCTGAAAGTTGTTAAAATGAAAAGACAATATTAAAGTGATGTTGTTTCTGATTTGTGTATATTATCTCTAGTTATAGAATGTGAGTAAACACAAATAATTCTGCTGATGAATTATGAGGATTCCTGAGAATCAGCATTAAGAGGATATTTAACTTATTCAATGCTTGGTGTAAATTGATATTCCCTTCATTAAATGCTCAAGAAAAATGATTATTTGTGTGAGAATAGGGCTTCTTGGAATTATGTTTATATGGTGAAGATAAAAATATTTCAGGTTATAAGAGTAAAATTTGTTTAACTACAATGCATATTAGGAGGTCAAGAAAAACTGCCATTCCAACTATTATATTCAGGTTGAAATGTTACATTTTTATAATTATAGAAAGGTATCTAAAATTAAGTACTTGATCCCCCAAATATAATCGAATGGTGACAGGCTGAAACTTCCCATTCTAAGCCAACATTTACCCAGGCATTAATTTCTGAGGCAGAGCAAGCAGTGAACAAGGTTCTGCTGCTCAACAGGTTCTTTAATCATCCATGCTGCCTACCCACCCTCCTCCCTTTTATAAAGTCAGACATAATCTTTTGAATAATCTAGTGCTACACATAACCATGAAAAACAATTAAGAAATCTTATTCTAAAGGAGAACCTAGACAATCTTAATTCTCAATAAAATTTAAAAGAAATACAGTAAATGAGGATTAGGTAGGAACATTTATGCATATTTAGTAAAGATTATACAGGTATTGGATTCAAGCTCTTACCTCCATACACACAATAGTGGCCTAATGTGTAAAATCATACTCCTTAAGCTGTACTTTGCTGCCATACAGAAAATGTTAAAATGCTCATCTCATACTATTATAAAATTTAATTGATATATTAAATAAATGAGATTGAACGAGTTATGTGGAAGTAAATTTAAACTTAATATCCATGAGTCCATAAACATCAAACATCTACTATACATAAAATACTGTGATATATACTAATAAATTGTCAGCTAAATAGTTAAGGAATCTGAAAAGGCAAAGTTCCATAGTATTAAAGTAAGGTGACAAAGGAAACACAAGAACAGATAAAGGAGGTAATTCCATGTATTCCACAGGAAAATAGTAGGTATCCAGCAACTGGAAACTAATGTTATATTATTTAAAGTTTTGGGGCCCAAGATATTCTTAGCAATAAAAGTTAGCAGGAAACCCAACATATTTTAACATGTGTGGAACGTCTTTTTGTTTATGTACTAAATAACATATGATTTTTAACTATATTACATTCTTTCAAATATAGGGTGTCCCAAAAGAGTGTATACACACACTTTGAATAATTATAAAGGTAGTGTTTAATATACATTTCATTTTCAAAATTGATATCAGCTGTTAAAGGATGTATATATTTTTTGGGACACCCAGTATTTGTTAATTTTAAATTACAAAATAAACTCTTTCATAGCCCCAAACACTTTTACTATCAGTAATTAAGCTGTATAGTAGGGTTAGGTTTTTTAAAAAAATGAACCAACCTGGGAACTTAACGACTATTTAAAACATTATTGCATTAATTCATTATTGAAAAAATTGTATTTCATGAGAAAGTATATGAAGAAAATGCATGCTGCCCTCTAAAAAAACTTCAAAACAATGAATTCATAAATTAGGAATTGCACATATTATAAAGAGAGACCTGACTTCAAATACTAAGCTTTTTTGACAGCCTTTCACATGCTAACAATCAGTAAGACTTTCTAAATTAATGCATTTATAAGAATTTCTAACTGTAAATGGTAGGAACAGATTTTGTGTATTTTCTCTCATTGCAGAGAATCCTCAGAACTTCTGATGTCTGTACAAACAAAAGTATCTCTAGTTCTATACACATAAAAAGTTAACTACCCTATGATGATGAGTGATTTTAGTTATCTCAGGGAAATTCAATTAAAGCAATGAAGACTTTATACGAGCTAATATTCAAATAAAATTAAGTTTTAAAAAAGGGAGAGCACTGAATTTTAAAAAGTGGCGTTTATATTGAGGACTATTTTATTCCACCAATGATTTACATAATATTTGATTATATATTGTTTATTTTACCAAGATTACGATTCCTGGCATAACATGGTCTTTCAAATGAGTTGTGCTCTGTCAACTTTTCTGTCACTTCTCCCTCTCTAGGAGCACTGGACTTAATATCTTCATTATGCAGTTCTAGTTTGTTACTGTCTTGAATACAGATTCCTAAAATCCATGATCACAAATTAGTAATTTACAGCTTAAGTCTTGATTTCTCCAAACTTTTCCTTTCCTCATTAAATAAATGATTCAGAATGTAAAGAGAATATATAGCATTTGGTCATCCATTTGTCATTATCAGTTTATTTATAACAAATTTTAATCCATGTCTCATGATCTGTAAGTTGAAACAGTATCTGTGGTACAGTTGAAAGAGGGTGTATAAAATAGCTAAAGGATTGGGGGGGTTAGGAGGGTGTTTGAAGAAAGACACCCAGGCTTTGAATCCTGGTCTGTGTTGACTTAGGTAAGCCACTTAACATATCAGAGTTCAACTGCCTTGCCTATAATATGGATATGCTAAATCTTACATTGCAGGTATCAGTTGAAATTAAGTAGGGTCCAGGATATTATGGGCACTAATAATTGGCAATAATTAGTACAGTATGCAAAAGGGTTTATATATTTAAATATATGTGATTTAGTTTAGATGTGAGTCTGAACAGAGATGAAACAGATGTATATTAAAATTAAAAACAAAATCAGTTACTAATTTATGCAATGAAATGCTGTTCTACCCAATTCTTAAATGAAGGAGCAAAGCAATTAAACGCACTTATTTTTGGAAAGTGGAAAATTTAAAAACCAACGAAAAATTTTCATAAGTATTAAATCATTTGAAACATTTTAAACACTATCATATCAGACATCTAACCCCAGAATATTTCATATGCTCAAATGTAGTGGAAAAACAACAAATACAAAACAGGATCTTCATAATAAAAATTGAAGTACTTATCCATGTCTCTCTTTCCTGGAAAGCAAGTATAGAAACATAAACATTTTTGAGATTAAAAAAATGTATACTAGAAAACGATATCCTTTTGGGGTATTAGGACTATTTCGAATTTGTCTTGCTCCAATCCATTCATGAACTCTGTGAACTCTATAGGCATAGCTTTCTAGGAATAGCTTTAAAAGTAAGTCTTTTAAGTCCTCCAAAAGGAACTCTCTTATGCCCCAGATTTAAAGATTGATGTGAATTACTTCCTAAACTGATGCTATAACTTGGCTTTCCAAACTAAAAACTTACCCAAAGGGTAAGCAGGTTTCAGGTCAAATGAATCTCTCTCATCAAGAAATGATTTTGGTTTGTTAAAAACCAGTTTCTGATTAAAAAATTCAGGATTTTACATCAGGTACAAAGCACCCTCCCCCAAACAAACAAATAGGCATTGCAACGTATACAGGTTGTGTTTCTTGGCAATTTATATATAAAATAGTTTCAACTTTAGTAAAAGGCATACTTTCATGACAAATTAAAAGTTGAACATTTAAACATGTTCTTATACCCTGTTTTTGAAGTACAGCTTTAGGTTCAATTGGACGGAAGCAGGAGATTTTAAACTGATGATATGGCTTACTGTTTCTAAGTAGGAGTGTTTTAATGGCTGGGCTAGTTGGACAGTTTCTGTCAAACAATAATAGTACATTTATTGAATGCTTTCTCTATGCCAGACATTGTTTTAAACACTTTACATGTATTATTGCATTTAATACTCAAAGCAATCCTATAAAAATGGTATTACCATCCCCATTTTATGAGAGGACATAAAAATAAAATAACAGAGACATGATTTGAACCCAGGAGAACTGACTCTAGAATACATACTCTTAATCTCTATTACTCTTTCTCAAATGAAATGAGAAATTACTTCAACCAAAGATGTAATATCTGACAAACAGCCAACATTTATATCTTAAATAACTCTAACAAGAGAGCCATAGAATTTTCTCTAGGGACAAAGGCAGAACTCAGTGTTTTTTAAAAGTTGTATTTCATATTAAATGATACAGAATAACTGGGTCTTAACCAATACGCGTATAAATTCTTGAGATGATTGCCAGATCTCTTTTCTAAGGAAGATATCAGACTTAGGCCAATGCATATGAGGTTGTTGAACCTTGTCTGGGAGACAAAGAAAAACTTATGTACATGAATGGCAATTCTATCACCCCTTGGCATGGTTGTATCTAAAGCATACAAGTCTTCATTGTAAACAACAAAACACTTGTGCTATTTTTTTTGAACTTTTATAAAAACTTATTTGAGCAACCCAGCTGCCATGGCTCAGTGGTTGAGCATCAACCTATGATCCAAGAGACTGAAGTTTGATTCCCAGTCAGGGTACATGCCTGGGTTGCGGGCTCGATCTCCAGTAGGGGACATGCAGGAGGCAGCCGATCAATGACTTTCTCATCACTGATGTTTCTGTCTCTCTCCCTCTCCCTTCCTGCCTCCGAAATCAACAAAGACATATTTAAAAAAAAATGTATTTAAGCCAGAGAGGATACACCTGGAAGCAAGATCTCAATAGACTGAGATAAATGCTTCCTGTTACTAATATTTTAGATAAATAATGAACTATCTATAATCTAAGACTCATCTAAGACTTGTTTTACTTCTATAATTATCAATTTGTAATTATTTCAGGCAACCATAGAAATGCCATTATTCAAACCCTATTGAAATTAAATTCTTATTTGAGTTTAATTTGGAAGTGGGCGGGGGAAAGAGGTACAAAATGTGATTTTTTTTCAGAGAAAATTTGTGTGCTTTCTTTTTGTAGGACAACAAATGCTATATAATTTAAATGTTTTCCCTCTTTTGTCTTTAAGTTTTTATGAAAAAGTCAAATTTAGAGTCCCAGAGTAGCAGTAATTTAGTTCAAATATCTAATAACTTATTTCCCATAGATTGACTCTTAGATACACTTTTCTTTCTTTTTATGTAAATCTACAACTGTTTCATTTAAAATAATAAGTTCTTATGGAAATAAGCTGGACATAATATATTACAAGAAATAAAAGAAATAATAAATTCTTAAAGCAAATTGAAACTCCTAATAAAAAAGTTTTGGAATAGTTATCCTATCTTACCACACCAACTGAATCTTCTACTGTTATTCTGAATAGTAAGAAACCATTCTTACCTTGAGCCTATGAAATTAACACTAACTAAAAAATAATTTTAGAATGAAAGTATATGGACTGAAAAAAGTCCCTTTATAACTGAGAATGTCTAGAATTGTTTTTAATTTGTATAAATTCTTAGATTACCTGAATCAATTTAGGCAATTAGGTAAGTCTTTTTTCTTTTTGTTTTGTATAAAAGATTTCTATTCATTTAATGCAGTCATCATGCAGCTTAAAAATAAATTTTATCTGAATAGCAAGGTTAAGTTCCTGGTGCAACATTCTGTAAATTTTTAAAAGATCACAAAAGGAACAGACAAAACAGCAAAGGTAAAAATGACGCTACAATGCTGATTTAGAAAAGGGTTGTAATTATTATAAAAACAATAAAAATGTATTTAGAAGGTACAATCTACAGAAGTATATTTAATATTATTGATTCTATTATCTGAAGTTAAACATTAACTTGTAGAGTTTTCATTAAATTTCAGATAAGCAAAAGGGTTAAAAAATGTGTAGCACTTTTGAAGAAACACTGCAGATTGAAGGTTGCCATTTTGCTGAAGACACATTTTTGTTGTTTTTCTTTCTTTCAGAGGCTATGTGGCCCCTCCCACTTGTTCTATGCCCTGCCTGGTTATTTCTTGATGTTCTTTTTTCTACTGCATCCATTATGCATCTTTGTGCCATTTCAGTGGATCGTTACATAGCCATTAAAAAGCCAATCCAGGCCAATCAATATAACTCACGAGCTACAGCATTCATCAAGATTACAGCGGTGTGGTTAATTTCAATAGGTATGTGGGGAATGTCAGGATGTGGGGTCATGTATATAGCCTTTGGTTCCAGTTAGCTAGGAGAATTCCAGGCCTGGTAGGCCATGAAACTCAGGACAAGAAGTCAAGGCAGCCTACTGATACATCAACATAAGCTTCTATGCCAGTACATTCATCATACGGCTTCTAAACCATACGATCAGAAAAAAGTGTGAAAAAGCAGAAAAGTTCATGGACTCAGAAAGAACCGTCTTCATGTTTACTGAGAGACCTTCCTGCTCTGATTTTTGATGTGTAGGAAGAGTAAAAACAGTTTTCATATTTGTTAACAGATCATTAAGGTCTAGGTAGCACAGAGAATGCCCCCAAAATATTAAAACAACAACAAAAGCATCTTAAATCACATCTCAGAAGATAAATAGAAAAGAAAAAAAACTACTCAAGTATTTCGTATGCAGGTATCAAAGATCAAATTCACCATGGAAGCAAGTATGCACCTACTAAAGGCAGTAAATGACTGTCTAAGTGTTCTGAATCTGGTAAATCAGAAGTTTTAAGAGAGGTGCAAATGATTTGGAAACAATTTATAGAAAGAAATCAGATTTCTTCTAAACTGATTTATGCCCCTATGCCCATCTTTAATATGCAAAGACAGCTGCTATAATATAATACCTTAGCATAAATAGCTCAAACCTCTTATAAGTTAGTATCAGAGAAACAAACAGATTCACAACAATTACTATGATCATTCAAGTCTGAAGAGCAGATTCACTTCTTCATGGTATAAAACATTCAAAGAGGGGGAAAAAAAATCAAGAGAGACCTAGAATGCTAAAAGCAAGAAAAAGATGTGACTTCTCTCCAATCAGAATAAGAACACTGGGGCAAAAAAGCAAGACAGTAAAATTGACCTTATATTCTTGAAATAATGATATCAGGGCCAAACCTGTTGAAAAGTCTAGAGGTAAAAGTAAGAAGTGTTATTTCTCTGGCTGAGGAAGAAAGCAGGGTCAAGGAAAAGTCTACTAAGAATGGAGATTTTCAAACAGTGAGAAAAGGCTAGTTTTGGGGGCAGAGGCTGATTGACAGAGCAGAAGAGGATCCCCAAAACATAGCTAGGGAAACAGCATGGGAGATAATAGGTGACAATTACCAAATTTAAAGTGGAAAGGAGGAAACCTAAAGAAGTTCATGTCAAACGACCCACGTCTTTGTTAAGCTCACCGCAATGAGGAAGAGGAAAGAGAGACCACGGGAGGCAGGTGCTGGGGTAGGGCGGGAAAGTGGGCAAAGGCAAGAGGAAAACGGGAGAAATGCATTCTTAAGAATTAAAACATCTGAAACTGTGAAATATGATCAAGCCAATATATAAACCGCCTGTTGGTAGATGTGTTACCTCAATCAAGGCCAGATAACATGAGTTTTTAAATTGATCAAGTTTTTATTGAGTACCTATGATGTGCTAGGTACTAAGACTACGAGGATGATAAGAAAGAGAACCTTTATGCTCAAGGAAGGAAGATATATAAATAGATTGGACTAATACAGTTACAAGTATGCAGGAATAAAACAATAAAAAGACCCCAGATTTACAGCTTTGGAAGGGATCTTACAAATCTACTCTTTTCTCTTATAGATGAGAAAAAAAACTAGAGGTTTTAAGTGGTTGGCTTAAGAATTCTTACAGCTTTTCAGCACCAAGGCCAAGATCAATGCTCTTTTCATTTCATCACACTTTGTCTTGCAGGACCAATGACAATTTAGTAACTTTGTAAAAGAAAAAGCAGATCATGGAGTTAGTTCAGTTTTTAAACTCTGCAAAGTGCCGAAGAGAGCTCACTTTCCTCTGGATTTGCAGGTGTCCTAGGTGACAATGGCGGCAGTGAGGTCCTAAGGAGAATAAGTGAGGGTATACAAAGTACCAGCGGAAACGTAAACGTTGCTGTGCTGACCAACACGCTGGTCAATACAATAGCCTATCTCCTTGAGAAGGTGATGTGCGCCCTGATGAGGTTAACGGAATGTGAAAACAGAGAAGGAAGGATAGACCAGAGGTCAAGGTAACAGCAAAGAGACATTCTAAAGTGATGAAGAGGGGCAGGGCAAGAAACCCAACTATCAGAGTTCCTGATTTTACATATGGGGTAATTTTAAGTGGACTTATAAAAGGTTTCAGGAGTGCAAATAATAATTAGAGTTGAGAAGAATGTAAAATTAAGGTGTTAGAAGGGTCATCCATGGGATGAAGACATAGAAGATGACAGCCATGGAAGAATGGAGAGGAAGACTATAACAAGGAGCTATCGAGCAAGATGGACAAATGTCCTGGAGGTTGGTAGATAAAATGGAGAACAGAGTGGTATAAGTGAATTAAATAGACTTGAAAAGGGAAGTGTTTTGGGGGCAAAGAACAGTGGAATGATTACCTAGAAGTAAAGAGGGTAGAGCAGGGATCAGCCAACTCTTTCTGTAAAGGGCAAAATAGTAAATATGTTGGGTTTGCAGACTTTGCCACAACTATTCAACTCTGCAGCAGAACAAAAGCAGCCATAGAAATACGCTAACCATGAGTATGTCTCTGGTTCAATACAATTTTATTTACAAAAACAGAAGGCAGGCCAGATTTAGCGCTCAAGTTGCAGTTTGCTGACCCCTAGTGTAGAAGAGTAAGTACACAGAATCCTCTTTCTGGTGGCAGTCCTGTGGAAAAGTAGAAAAAGCAGTGGCCTCCACTTGGAAAGGGTTTGAGGAAAACATTCTCGTCAAGGGGTCTAATGCTATCACAAAAGGCTGTGCAGATAATGGAGTACTTTTAGATTCATAAAACACAAGGATTCTAGAGGTTTCTAAAGATTAATTCAGACTTATTTTTAAATATCTGCTGTTTCAAAGGAAAAAGATTCAGACTAACCCTTGTGTTACTTGTCTTCCTAATAAACTACTTCACCAAGCATGATCATATTTAAATATTTACTTTATGGTATTTAAAGTATTAGAAAATTAGCACGAGGTATATTTCTTTCATATCTATTAGAGGAACTCAATCCTGAAAATAAATTTCACAATTCATATACTCTCAAAATTTTAAGTACCATTTTTTAAAAACAAGGAACCCCTTAGTTTTCACTAAGAAGTACAAAGAAAAGAGTCAAAGACATTCACAAACATCAAAAGATAAAACTATCTGTTAAAAAGATAACAGATACTGATTCAGAATTAAGATGTTTCATAAACATACTCTGAAGTCTCTTAGATCTTTGGACATTAAGATAAAAGCAGCTTCTCCTGAATTCCCTTTCTTTAATCTAGGATAGATTAAAAAAACAAGTATAGATTACGAGGAATGGGGAATAAATGAAGACATTCTTTACCATTCCATGAAAATATTATAGCCTTGGGGACGCTTTAATTATAAACTTGAAATCACTAGAGCCAATCTCTGTTTAAAAACAGCAGGTTTGCTTATTTAGGTTCTATGTGTCAAATCTTCCATTGATTAAGTGCTTTGACAAAATCTGTATTGTGGGCACCAGAAATTACAATATATTAACCACATAAAATCACTAAAATAAACTCTAAAAGGAACTATTTAAGAATCAAAGGTCATAAAATTAACTTAGTTTATCTTGTTTCCTTTTCCTTAGGCATTGCTGTTCCAGTCCCTATTAAAGGGATAAAAACTGATCTAGTTAATCGAAATAACATCACTTGTGAAATGACAAGAGAGCGTTTCGGCAACTTCATGCTCTTCGGCTCACTGGCTTCCTTCTTTATACCTCTGGTGATCATGATTGTGACCTACTTTCTCACTATCCATGCTTTACAGAAGAAAACTTACTTGGTCAGAAACAAGCCACCTCAACGCCTAACGTGGTTGACTGTGTCCACAGTTTTCCAAAGGGACGAAACACCTTGCTCCTCACCTGAAAAGGTGGCAATGCTGAATGGTTCTCACAAGGACAAAACTCTGCCCAACTCAAGCAACGATATGCTTATGCGAAGAATGTCCACTGCTGGAAAAAAGTCACTGCAGAACATTTCCAACGAACAGAGAGCCTCAAAGGTTCTAGGGATTGTGTTTTTCCTCTTTTTGCTTATGTGGTGCCCCTTTTTTATTACAAATGTAACTTTAGTTTTATGTGATTCCTGCAACCAGACTACTCTCAAAATGCTCCTGGAGATATTTGTATGGATAGGCTACGTTTCCTCAGGAGTGAATCCTTTGGTCTACACCCTCTTCAACAAGACATTTAGGGATGCATTTGGCCGATACATCACCTGCAATTACCGGGCCACAAAATCTGTAAAAACTCGTAGAAAATGCTCCAGTAATATCTTCCGGAATCCAACAGCAGAGAACTCTAAGTTTTTCATAAAACGTGGAATGCGAAATGGGATTAATCCTGCCATGTACCAGAGCCCAAGGAGGCTCCGAAGTTCAACCATTCAGTCTTCTTCAATCATGCTACTAGATACACTTCTTCTCACCGAAAATGAAGGTGACAAAGGTGAAGAGCAAGTCAGTTATGTATAGAAAAAATGGCACAGCTTTCATCCAATATAATGATTAGGAGGAGGAGGAAATGGATATGACTGTACAAAGAATTATATAAAGGACTTAAGTCATGTATCATATCATCTCTTTACACTAAGAGTTATGTATTAAGATTATCCAATTTTCTTTATTTGGAGACAATTACTACATGAAAGAAATCATTTTGTACAGCTGCAAATTAAAATAATTGAGTCCTCTGGTTAAACACTGAGGTATTCAAATGAAATAAAATTAAATAAATCAATAAATTTCAGGCCTAAAACATGTCTTCATTAGAATTTATTTAGTTCCTACTTGTATGCAAAGCTGTGCTACAAATGAAATAAAACAAGTATTATCCTTGTCTTCAATGCCTTAAAAGCATAGGCATAACAACAGTGATAGGAACAGGGACCTATCAATAAGTGTATAATGATCACATCTGGAGATAAGAAGTTAAGATAGCCATTTACAGTCTGGCTTAGTTAGACATAGTCACAACCCGGCTTTGATCAGGAAACTGCCTTGATGGAAGGGTAGGGAGGACAGTAGTTGGATATCATACAAAATAATAGGGTCTTAGAACTGGAGCTGTTTGTTAAATGGCTCATACCAGGGATGTATTCAGCAGAGGTGGGGGTATTAGAGGGGGAGAAAACAAATAAAATCAGTCTTGGGTACCTTAAACCTCATTATGTTCTTTAAAGAACATGTGCAAACTGGAGGCATTAGACCTCAATCCAGGAACCTAAACTTCAGTGGTCTCATAAACTGAGACCACGGCTGCCAAAGATTGGCCAAAGACTTGGTTGAACTTCGGGCACAAACATTTTTGATTTACCTTCTCATCATTCAATTTTGCATCACTACACCTGGGAATAAATCCATTTTGTGTCGCTCACTAGCTACCAGATTGAATTTACAAAAGATACTGAATTTCTCTGAGCCTGTTTCCTCATCTGCATTTCATAGGGTTCTTAGGAGAGTGAATACATGTGGGCACTCTATAAATGGTAGACACTTCTTTTTACTTTTGTTATTTTATTTTTATGCTACTCTCATAAATTTAGGCTGAGGGGGTGTGCAGTGAAGACAGCCATATCTCAGCCTTTTCTTTTCAAGTTGACCCCTTCTCATGCCTCAACCTATTATCCTATTGCTCTCCTTCTCCATACAACTCAGTTTTGTTTTGAATCCTCACTCAAGGGTGTTTTTTTTATTGATTTTAGAGAGAGAAGGGAGAGGGAGAGAGAGGAACATCGATGTGAGAGAAACATCGATGAGCTGCCTCCTATATGTGCCCTGATAGGGGATTGAACCCACAATCTGGGTATGAGCCCTGACTGGGAACAGAACCCAAAACCTCTCAGTGCACTGGACGACATTCCCACCAACTGAGCCACACTCAGGGCAACAGGGTGCAACTCAGTTTTAAAATATTACTTCAAGAAATATGTTGGCTATTGAGAAGCTCAGCTCAAGTAAACCAGGTATATATTCTCCAAATGGCAAAATTCTTTCCTACAACCTGGTTCTAAAACCTGGTTCTAATCATAGATCTTACAGGCTCCATATTATCTGCTAAAAAGAGTATATCTTACAAATTTAATTCCTGAATTATCAAAGCTTTATGCACTTGTCCCACCAGTCTAAGATTTTTCAGCAGGTAGGCTGTATCAAATAAGAGGTAAAATAATTTATGTTCCTAAAAAAACCACAAATCAAAACATTAACAAAAAACCCCATTCTTTTCAGTTTTGGTTCTAGTCACTAATAAGATGGATTTGGCATATGTTAATATTTATATTCTTGCCACGTCTTGTGAGATTAAGTTTTCAAATACCACTCTAACTGCATTTTATGTATCTGAAGATATCTAGTATCTATAATTGTTTCAGGAAACCTAATTACTAGAGATGGCAATCACACTGCCAAGCTCTACCCCTAGACAATCTAGAGTAGGACTGTTTTCCCACATGCTCTACATTGCCTCCAAATCTGTGTGTGTGCTTAAACATATGCATACATATAAAATTAATTATTAGACATTTAAACTATTTAGCCTCAGTTTAAAAAAAAAGTCTTTGCACCCTAGCTGGTATGGCTCAGTGGCTGGAGTGTTGGCCTGTGGACTGAGGGTCCTGGGTTCGATTCTGGCCAAGGGCACATACCTCAGTTGCAGGCTCAATCCTTGATCCCCAGTCCCCGGTCAGGACACGTTTGGGAGGCAACCAATCAATGTGTGTGTGTCTCTCTCTCTCTTTCTCTCTCTCACTCACTCCCCCTTCCACTCTCTCTGAAAAGCAATGGAAAAAAATATCCTTGGGTGAGGATTTAAAAAAAAAGTTTTTGCTTACAGTTAGCTGAGAAATCTTTCTATAGTTAATGGGAGCATTCTACTACTTCCAGAAGATTCTAAGAAAATGAAATACAACCCCAACATAAACTACTTCTGAAAAAGTGAAATACAGCACAAAATCTTTACCACTTTGATACATAACTGATATTTGTATTTCAGAATACTTTAATTTTTAAGCAAATCTCAAAAGTTAATCACTTCTATGGCAACATAGAAACTCTATTTAATAGTCTTACTCTCAAAGAAAAGGAATAGGTTGTACCTCTTTAGAAAAATAATTTTGAAAAAAAGTTTTCATTCTATTCCATATTTGTTAATTAATAGAAAGGAAAAAACAAAGGTGTAGAAAAAAGAATGAAAAACACACAAAAAAGTAAGAAAGTTATAGCACCTAGAATTATACACAAAGATATTGAGGCAAAAATAGAGAACAGCATACCAAAAATATGTATGAAATTGATATACAATTTTGAATAGAGATATTGTAAAGATAATTCATGCATGTGGCAGTAGTATTGCAACATTTTTACATTCAAGGAACCTATTTTTGTGGCTTTAAAATACCTGCACCAAGAATCTCCCTTACATCTAGCAAGATCCATCCATATCTGAAAACATATTAATGTATACACCGAGAATTATTTAGTTTCAAACTGTAACAGCTGAAGTCATAGCAAAGATGACCAAGGACCTCCAAGACTGTCTAATTTTAAGATCTATATCAGGTCATTAACTTGTTCACCATTATAGAAAATTTTTTCAACTATGTAAAGACCAATGCTTCTTTTAATTTCTTTCTTCATTTTCCTTTCCAATGTCAAATTAAAATAATTCAGATTCTGGTCAATTCCAATTGGGTTTCAGTTAATGCCAAGTACAGTACTGACCAAAGACTTGCTATAATAATAAAACCTGCTGACTAGACTGGTAACAATGGGACCAACAATTACCTAATTATTAGATAAAAAATGTATTAGGCTCATTTCAATGACAAGAATGCTTTTCAATTTAATTTTCTACTTTTATCATATACACTATGAATAAATAACCCACAGACATCAGGAGAAAGAGAGAAAATACTACGACTCCTTGGACTATCCGGAGAATAAAGGAGATGATACACATAAGAATTTTTTGTTTCCCACAGAGACAATTTCATACTAGTTGCTGAAGTACAAATACATATTTACTGATATGTTTGCAATGTTTTGTTCAGTAAGTACACATTTTAAAAAGTTAAAAAAAAAATCACAGCAAAAAATGAAGGAATAAATCCTTAAAACATGGTTCAAGAAGGCCAAATGTCTGCAGTTACTTTAAAAGCAACATCTACCAGGGAAGAAATGATAAAATGGAACCCATTAAGAAAGTAAATGATGACGCATCAGAAAATATTTACTATTCTTAAAAGACAGGACAGTAAACTTTCCAAATATTAAAGTTAATAAGAAAATAAAAGCAACTCATGGGAGACATCTGCTGCTGAAACTGGGAATTAGTACATGTGTGAGCTACAGGAATCCAAGGGCAAAGTGAATTTTGTTAATTTGAGAGCAATGAGAAAGTTTTCAATTAGCTCATCAACTTCCTATATGGCGAATATGCACACTAGGCAACTGATTTTATGACATGAAATACAAAGTCACTCACAGGGAGAATTAATACTGACAAAAAACAAAACAGAGATTATCATGAGTAGGGTTCTTTACACAAGCCAATAGTTACTGAGAGTGTACCTAGAAGATATGCTTTCTATACTAAAATTATCTAGGTCCCTGATAAAAACCTTTAAAATACGCAAACCTCTCTGGATGGCAATAATAAAATCATTTGTTTTGTTTTTGAATTGTGTGGAAACTCTAGAGCAAAAATATAAGAAGGTAAGGGTCACAGTTCGGCTAGAATGACGTATCAAAGATGACAGGAAGGAAATAGAACTATTCAACTTCCATTTTGCTTCTTCCATCTTTTCTCCCAGGAGAATGATTTTTAGACGAGAAAGATAAAAAGTAATGTGAGATGGGTCAAAATGCAAAACAGGTGAGGAGAATGACTGCCTTAAGTGTGTTCAAGTCTCTAGCGAAATGAACCACCTCCCTGAAACAGAACTTGTCAATGCAATTATGGAACCACTGCTGACAAATCTGAGGAAAAACAGAAAATGGCAAAGGTACAAGCCTGTAAATGACTAAATACAATATTCCAATGTTCAGAAAGAATCTTTTCAAGAAACAGGATTTGAGAAATTAAAAGTGTGGACTCTGTTGCAGATCTTTTGAAAAAACGTAGAATAGCCTAACACATAGGTTCTGTGAGATCTTAGAAAAGGAATCAATGAACAATTGACACATCTACAGATTTACTAAAAAACAGTAAGCCACTAATCACATATCTTGTCTTGGAGGTACCAGACTAGCTGTGTAATACCATGTGTTTAGAATTTAGTGAAGGCTCTCTAGTGTCTTCATGAACAAACTGGACAAAAGGGGGTTAGAGGACAACACAGTGAACATTAGTATTTGGTTGAACAACCACACTCAACAAAACTGACTGGTACAAGGAGAAACCAATTACCATGCCATATGGGTCTGTTCTTTGCTGTTTCACTCAACATTTTTATCCATAATAGAAAGAAAATATTTTATGGCCTGCAGTAATTGGATAGCTTCCTATCCTGGGATATAATGGAGAAGATCCTGTAATCAGTTCACAGTGGATATTCAATAAATATTTCTCAAGTTATACACCAATCTTTACAACAAAGCTTCACTCCCAGGAACTCAGGGTAGAAAATCTTTACCAGAGATTAAAAGGACATGAGACACTTGACTCATCCAACATGTACCCTGGGAACTTATTTTATGGTATAATCTCATCACAAATATGCTGTAACAAGCAGTGTCCAAATAAAGCTTAAAAGTACTTTTAATTTTCCTTTGTTTTATATATATATAATATATATATATAAATATATTATATATATATATATATATACATAACTTTTTATTTTTTATTTACTTATTTTTAAAAAACATATCTTTATTGATTTCAGAGAGAGGAAAGAAGAGGGGGAGAGAGAGATAGAAACATCAATGATGAGAGTCATTGATTGGCTGTCTCCTGCACCCCCCCGACTGGGGATCGAGCCCGCAACCCGGGCATGTGCCCTGACCGGGAATCAAACCCCAATTGCCTGGATCCTAGGTCAACCCTCAACCGCTGAGCTACGCCCAGCAGGGCTATATATATATTTAAATATATCTTTATTGATTTCAGAGAGAGGAAGTGAGAGGGAGAGAGAAAAACATCAATGATGAGTCATCATTGATCGTCTGCCCCCGCACACCCCCGACTAGGGATGGAGCCCTCAACCTGGGCATGTGCCCTGGCTGGGAATCGAACCACGATCTCCTTGATCCTAGGTTGATGCTCAATGGCTGAGCCGAGCCAAGCCGGGCTCCTTTGTTATATTTAAGATAAAAACAAAACAGTGTTATCTGAGATCGGAGCTAAGCAGACAGTGAGAACTACTGGAAGAAGTACTACTGCACCTACAACCACTATTATAATTAACACTAACGCAGACTTAAACAGCACTCACTATTGCCAGAGCCTGTCCTAAAAGCTTTAGATAATCATCAAAAAACACTGTTCTCAAATAAGTACTAATATTATACCTTTCACAGACAAGGAATCTGAGGCTCAAGGAGTCTAAGTAACAAGCCCAAAGTTACTCAGCTAATAAGTGGTGGAGCCAGGATTCAATACAGGCAGATTGGTTTCAGTGTGTCCTCTTAATCACAACTATGCTATACTGCCAAGGGTATCTCCAAAT